GTGTGTGTGTGTGTGTGTGTGTGTGTGTGTGTGTGTGTGTGTGTGTGTGTGTGTGTGTGTGTGTATGTGTGTGGTGTGTATATATATATATATATATATATATATATAACTGTAAAGTTCTTGTGTACTCAAGGGTGTAGTCTGTACACGTATAAGTCTTCTACATGAGCAAATCGTGTCGTTGGCCAATATTAGTTGCACACAGGGACAGCTCTGGAGTTAGCTGGATTGTGAACGGACACGTTTGATGTCTGCTGTGAAATTCTGAAATATATTTATTTGGTGCAATTTGAATTTTTTAAAACGTTGTTTGCAAAGTTTTATTAATTTTTTTATGATTTTTATGATTTTTTAATTATTATGATCAATATATATATTTATAAATTTAACAAGCTTAATTAGCAAAATTATATGTAAAAATACATATATGATATATGATATATAGAAAAAAATATCATATGTAAATTATTATAAAAAGGTAGCAGATGATTATCAAATGTTAGTAGCACTGAAATATTTAAAAGATGTTATACTTTTCATCGATGTTTTCAATATTCAATGCTCTAGAATCAATACAAGAGTGTAGTATCCCAATACTCATTTGCAATGACTGCTATCTCATTTTTACTGTCAAATCAATAATACGTTAAAGTCTCGTTGCGTTTATGGAGAATATTTCTCTCTAATGCGACATGTTTTAAATATTAAATATTACAGTTATGCATTGATGTTTCACGAGTATTTCGAAGTATCTCGCGTTACAGTGTGTCAGATATAGTATATTACGCAAACTTTTCTGAACGTAAATAGGAAATGTTTGTAACCTCGATGTCGGCGGGACGCGGTAAAATGCGTGATGTTTAAAGACCGCGCTCCTAGGCGGTGCTTACAATTCGTCTCTGAAGAAATTTCCTGACTATTCCCAGCAGGGATAAGCGAAACGACCGGAATGATCGTTTCCGCACGGCCGTGGATCACCGGGACGCTGTCAGAAATTGCACAAAACGTTAAGCTTCTCCAATGTATATCGAGCGCACTTTGCGTAAACCGCGTGCGGTTCATATTTCAAAAGATAAACAAAAACGTTCGGAATTGAAGCACGATTGGATTTGCTCCGAGTTTTGCACATTTCGCTTGTTGCGATAGTGCGAATTATTTTGCGAAGCTGAAACGCCGCGCGACCTAGTGATAAACCATCGCGATTTTATTTCGATACGCCGTTGTGAGTTATATAACTGTAGACTAGTATATTTCCAACGTGACATTCAACACGGAATATTATTCTATAGATGAACGAGCGGATGCGCGAAAGAGAGAGAAAGATGTATAGAAAGAGAAGAGAGAAAGAAATTTATAGCCTTTTACTATCATATTGATTAGATTTACTGAGATTGTATCTTTTAAGTATTATATGTACATTGTCAATATGTTCACAACATATTCTTGCTCTTTATATCTTTTATTTCTTTTATGTCTCTTGTTCAGTTTTGACATTAGTATAATATTTTAATCATTTTCTATAAATCATTTTTTTAATTAAACTATTTACTTATACAAAATTATGAATATCACTTTTCTGTGTTTCTTCAATCAGGAATAAAAATTAGTTGTATTAAGCATCATATACATATATAAACATCTTGTATATTAGATCTTTATTATATTATTTTTATGTTCTTGTATTAATATTTTATGTTTTTGTACAACTTGCTGTAATCATCATTATTACTATATTCTTATTTTTTTATTCTTTTATATATTTTTTTATCTTATATGTATAATTAGAATCTACAATGCTTGCAAATAGTAATATAATAATATAAAATAAAATAATATATAAATATAATAATATAAAAATATAATAATATAACAAAATATATATATTTTATTTAATAAAAATAGTGCATATACGAATTGTTTATTACACATAAATACAAGATTCAGAAACTTGAATAAGAGAAAGAATTGATAAAAGAAGCGATACAAAGCGAAATTGCGAATCCGTACGACACTACCAAAGTTCGATATATTTCTTATAGTTTCAGCTATCTTGCAATATTTATTTGAAATTTTGCGCATAATGCATTCATGTATGATGCAGCAATGCATCATGCATTAGTAAGTGAATTAATGTAAGCGGAAACATGATAGGTAACTATTCATAGACGGAGTATACGTAGCCTTTTCCGTCCAATGTGTATAATGTGAAGTATATGTGCTAAGTATTTCATACACACACACACACACACACACACACACACACACACACACACACACACACACACACATATATATATATATATATATATAT